ATATTTCTAAAGAATTAATGAATTTATTTTTCATCTGATATTTCAAGATTTATTATAGTGGACACTTCCTATTTGAAATAGACACCTCGTTTTTATTTATCAAACAGTATAAATTATGTCTATCGGTTTGCGCATTCGAGTAATCTTAGCAAAGAAAATATATTCTCCATCAGGAATCGGACTTACGTTCTCCTTTCTAAGGGAAACCACCATTCTATCCTGTTTAATTCACCGCTCGGCCACGATGAACGTCAGAGTTAAGCAAGGCTTAGGTAGTAATCCGTTGGTATAATCCAAGCGAGTCCCATTTACACAATATAGAAATTTAAATATTAAATGTTAAAACTGACTCACAAAGAGCGCTCAATGTTTATTTTCATTAAACAGAGCAAAATTTTTCTTACAATTGGAATTAAGATCAAGATACCATGATCATTATCACCCGCGAATTTTAAATTTAAACTTCGCAGGATTTAAGTTATGATGTCAGTTACCCCACATTACTTCGGGTAACTATACATTTCTTCTATCATTTCTTTCCCTCTGTCCCTCTGACGTTCTCACTCTCTGTCTTTCCCCCAACTAACCAGTCATTTTCAACAAATTGACACCATAAACATAAAAACTTTGAAAATATATATATATATTTATATATATATATATATATATATATATATATAGATATATAGATAGATAGATAGATAGATAGATAGCCATGTTTTGTTAAAATGAATTGACAAGAGCTGTCCGCTTAAATTTTAGTGTATTTTTTCCTATTTTTTAAGTTGTTTTATATCGGGATCAAAATTTTAGATAAATCGATTGAGGCTCATTTTTTTCTGATTTTGATCAAATACTTTCGATCGTAGCAGTGATCATCAATAATTGGGTGCCGTCCATGTGGTAAACAAGATTCTGTTGGCTACATCCTGCTATTATATGGGAATGCTGGGATTCAGATTAATCCAATGTGATGCCATGTGTAATGGCTAAATCGAAATAGACAAACTCTGAAAAAAAAAAAAAACATGTACTAAATATTTATAAAAATTATTTTATTTTGTAAACATGTTACACATCTTCTCCCCGCTTCAAGAAACCGTCTCCTGTGTTATTTTAAAGAAAAATATTCACTATAACAAATGACAATTAAGTAAATATTTTAAAATATAATAAGTAGACATTGTTCATTCTATCTCACAGAAAATACACGCGGGCGGACACACACACACGTGTTCATTCTTGTAAATATATACAACTACAAGAGGGACACCGCGAGGTAATGTAATGGTTAACAAGCTTGTCTCGCGACTGAGTAGTTAGTTCGATCCTCACTGGGTGCCCCATACTTCTGGCCTTTTGCCATATCTACACTACACTTGGAAAATCTTTTTAGGGCATCTCGATGTGGTGTAATGTTTAGCAAGCTTGTCTCGCTGAGTAGTGAGTTCGATCCTCACTGGGTGCCCCATACTTTCGGCCTTGTGCCACATCTAAGCTACATTTGGAAAATAGGTCATCTCCAGGCGGCGTAATGATTAGCAAACATGTCTCGCTAGAACACGACGGAGAAGTGAGTTCGATCCACACTAGGTGCCCCCACACTTTCAGCCTTTTACCATATCTAAGCAACGCTTGGAAAATTGTTTTAGGGCATCTCGACGTGGTGTAATGGTTAGCAAACCTGCCTCGCTAAAACAATTCCGACTGAGTAGTGAGTTTGATCCTCACTGGGTGCCCCATACATTCGGCCTTTTGCCATACCTAAGCTACGCTTGGAAACTCACTATAGAGAGACGGGAGTAATTTTATGTGTTGTAGTTTTGCGCCCCTCTAGCTTAAAATGGATTTAATATATTAGAATTTTGCTTCTTTCTTCGCTCGTACGTTTCGCCTTGATAAACAATAAGTAAACCCATTGCGAGGATAGACGAAAGAAGAGATATATAAAAGGAAGAAACACGAGAAAGAAAGAAAGAAAAGAAAGAAAGAGAAAAAGAAAGAAAGAATGAATGAAAAGAATGTGAGATAATGAAGTGATAACATTTCTATACATTTAAATGTTTGCTTCAGGGAATGTTTGACTTTGTTTATTTTTAATGTTTTCATTTGTACACTCTTATCATTTAAACAAAGACCGGCATTCATATTTATGATTGTTATTGTAATAAAGTTGTTCAGCTCAAATATCCAATGACACAATAAAAGAATGGCCAACGGTATTTTTATAGTCACGGATTATTCAGTCATTAACTTAAAATTTAATACTTATCAGTAAATTCAAATAGAAAAACCGCGAAATTTTAACAATTAACTCGAGTTACATATTAAATGAGTAGAGTAACACTTTCATATTTACCGTAGACACACACACACTCATAGATACATACAAACAAACACACACAGACACATACAGACATACACACATATATATATAATTTATATATATATATATTATGTATAATATATTTATATATATATATATATATATATATAATATATTTATATATATATATATATATATATATATATATATATATATATATATATATATATATATATATATATATATATAATTTATATATATAGAATTATATTATATATATATATATATATATATATATATATATATATATATAGCAAAACCCTTCGGTAAAAGTGAATCGAGAAGTGTGAATCTGGAAGTGTGGGTTTGTAATCAGTGAACTATTACAGCTATTAAGACTCTTCGGTAAAGCGAATTGAGTTCTCTCAGTCACTTTGTGTTTATCTAAAAATAAATACGCTAGATACTTCTTGATGTTGCATTATTTCTGAATGGCAGCTAGAACGATATTCTAATCTCTTCATAGCTACCTCTTCAAAGCGCTTGGATGACGATATATACACTGCGTGCCAAATTATTATCGAAATAACTTTTCTCTAATATTTCAAAAACCGTCCAATCAATTCACAAAAAATTTTCACACAATGTTGGCAACACACATCTGCGCAATCACTGAAATTTTCGTACTGATCTGCGCAATGTAAACAAACTGGCGCCATATTTGTTATCAGCTGATCTCGATAATAATTTGGCACGCAGTGTATATATATATATATATATATATATATATATATATATATATATATATATATATAAATATATAAATAATATATAATATATATTCCTGAATTGTCAGTGATACTAGATTTACAATTTAGGCAGAAGTAAATAGCAGTGTCGTCTGCATAGATGCCTATTTGGGAACGGATTACATCTGGAAGATCGTTAATGAAGATCAGAAACAGTGTATAGCGGAAGGGGGCGGGGTGCAAAATGACATGCATTGGTGAGAAAATGTGAAGAGATATGATGGGCATATAGAAACGTTTTCGATGTGAAATTTTAACCAGTGTTTGTTGTATTCCATCATCAACAACCATACAAGATTGACTTCATCAATAAAACGCGAAATCGAAGACACTTCTTGGAAATAATATCCATTACGTGAGAGTATATATATATATATATATATATATATATATATATATATATATATATATACACACACACACAAATATATATATATATATATATATATATATATATATATATATATATTTGTGTGTGTGTATGTTTGTATATATATATATATATATATATATATATATATATAGAATGCTAGACATTATCGTCCTGCCGCCTGTCGATTGCGTCTAGCATGGAACAGCCTGTAGCCTATGAGTGTGGACTTCAATGTTCAATTTATATTTATATTTACATACGCTCTATCTCTGATATTGAGCACTTTATCCCATAAATATAGTAAACCTTAAAACTATATATATATATATATACATATTACGGTTCTTTTTTTAAATAAATACAATGTTTCACGAAACTTTTTCCCTGTAGCGTAATATATATATAATAAAAAAGCTTAAACACTAATATTCCATGGTCATAATTTATTCCATTGGAATCGTAATCACGATCCAATTCATCAGACCTACAAATTCAAAAAGAAAGCAGAAAAACAACTCCGGGAACAAAAAATAAAATTTAGTGAGAGTGTATGTATGAGAGTGTGGGACGAATGTGAGAGGTAAATGAAAGCTATAGAGAGGGGTAACAGATGAGAGAAGAACAGGAGAAGAACGGAAAGGTCTAAAGATGAAGGTGGGGGGATTAAAATTTAACAGAGAGAAGTTTTAAAGAGGGGAGTCAAAGACAGTTTAATGAGAGAAATATGAATGTTGTCGGATGTCTAATATATTAAAGATGTAACCGGAAAGGAAACATTTTGTGGTGACATACAAACACAATAGACCTTAAAGGTCAGAAGATGAGAGAGGGAGAGGAAAAGAAAAAAGAGAAGATGGGGTGGGGGGAACTAAAACCGAAGGGCATTTATAAAAGGGCCGCTGTGTAATCAAGAAAATTTGACAAAATTAATATCGACTACAGGTTACAAATCAAATATAAACATATAAAAAAGAAATACAGTGTAACCCGGATGTAAGAGAGAAGAAGTCTCTTATATCCGGGTTTCTCTTATATCCGGGTTTGGTCTATTTTATATACATTAACACAGGCTCTAATTTGGGACCGGAGAAAATCTCTCTTATATCCGGGTTTCTCTTATATCCGGGTCTCTTATATCCGGGTTACACTGTATAACGATTATCTAATATACTATATCCTAAATGAATCTTGTTTAAAAATAACTGGAAATAAATTCACCTTTCACTAAAACACCGATCCAAAACATTTTTCTAAATTATATCAAAATTTCCGCGAGTCAAAAAAAAGAAAAAGAATGATTCTTAGCTTAAAAAAGTCTCTTTCAAAGTTATTTAAAGCTAGAAAACATTTTTAGATTGTAAGAATTTTTTAGGCAATAATTTAGAGATACAAATCTTTCCCAAGGGTAATTGCGCGTTAGTGAATATAATGAACCCAACTGAATTGAACTCCGGCTATCTGATTAACAATTGCGACCCGAACTGGATACAGTTTACAACACCTGGTATTCTCTAGCGGTCACCTATCTAGGTATTGACCAGGCTCAACGTTGCTTAACTACCGTGATTGCATGAGGACCGGTTGTGGCACCCTGCATTATTAGAAAACTAAAAAGAGATATTCATAAAATATGATTTAATTTTTTCGGTTTATTAACCAGTTGATAGTTATTTAGAGACGAAGAATAATTGAGTTTTGAGAATAATTCTCTAATTGTATTTAGGCGATCCGAAAGAAAGAAAAAGGAAAGAAAAAAAAAAAAAAAATAATAAAAAGAAAGAGAAGGAGAAATAGATAGTACAAAACCCGGTCATAAGAAAACTAAAACAACACAGGTGTCAAAAGATATCCAGGTCAAAGTACCTGACCGAAATCCACGGAAAAATAGAAATTGTTATATTTGGTTGAAGGAATAGAGTTTAGAAATAATGATACGAGACAGGGTAGTGGGGGCGATTGATGCATAACAGATGTCGGTCAAGCACCTGACCTACTTTCGTGTCCGCGGAGTATGGGAGTTTATTATCAATTTGGTTGAAGAAATAAGATTTTAAGAACAATGGAAAAAAATATTAATAAGTGACAAACGAAAAGGGTGTCATTGAGATGAGAGGACCGCTGGGAATTGTATACGAAAACAAGACATTGGTACACAAACCCTGACCATTTCTAGAGTTGAAGATAAGAACCACCCACGATGATGAGTGAAGATATTTTCAATTCAGATAATTAAGATTTTGTTAACAGGCCTGAGCGAAAGAAAGAGGTGAAAGCAATTGTTTTAGCTCGCAGAAGGCGCCGACAAGGCGAAAAAATTCTTTCTTTAAGTCGCATCTAATTAGCGGCAGGCTGTTTTGACAAAGGCCAAATGTGAAGGAATCCGAAATCGTCATTTTCGTGCGAAAAGGCCAATTTGGATTTTGTTTTTTTTTTAGCAAGGTGTTTCTTCCCCAGAACAAAGCCCCGGATGGTACACGCCCGATTGGAGACGTCACGAAGGAAGGAGGGAAGATACCGACCAGAGTCTCATTAGCCGAGGGCAGTCACATGATACATGAGGGAGGAGGAGAGACGCCCGACCAGAGTCTCATTAGCCGAGGGCAGTCACATGATACATGAGGGAGGAAGAAAGACGCTCGACCAGGACCCCATTGGTCGAGAGCGGTCACCTGACATACGAGAGACCAGGGGAAGCGGGTATGCGCCTCCCCCCTAGAAGCACTGTAAGGAAGTAGGAGTGAAAGTAAGAGCGATAATGGGAAATCAGAAATAATGCGACTTTTGGAATTATCAAGAAAACCCTGGCGCCGACAGACCCACCCAAGTTTGTTGCGGCGTCAATAAAAGCCGGACCTCAATCGATTAGAAATCAGTTCAGCCCCGGACGGCAGAGAGAGAGTTCGGACCTTGGCGAGAAGAAGAGTTGCAGGGCGGACGAAGAAGAAGTTACTTGCAGTTGCGCCTAGAAGAAGTTGAAATCAAACCAAGCCTAAGGATAGAAATTCGTCCAAGACAAATCGAAGTGAAGAAATTCGTCCAACTCAAGCCGAAGAGAAGAAGTCGATTCGCGCACTGACGGCGAGAAGAATTAGCCGTGAACGACTAGTAGAGATCAGCGCCCAGTGTCGAAACCAAACCACACCCCGACATGCAAATTTCTAGAGAGTAGGCAACTCGAAGTCTTTAAGTTGTATGGTAGAAGCTTGGTGCCACAGTACACAAAACGGGTCGGGAAGTAGGAATAATTTTTATGTAACGAACATTTAGATATAAAAGGTTGTTACCCTTTTTTATCAGTAATTTTTGGCCTCGTGAGTTTTTCTTTTTCTTGTGTGTTATCACCCCGTCGAACTCAGCTTGCATACGGCCCCAATCCCTGTTTGATCCTGTCTGTCTAAGATCTAATCACAACGTGGGTAGGCAGACCGGAGATCAGTGCAGTTACCCTAGTAACCAGGCGTTGGAAGCGAGTTGGGAACGGCGAGGCTGGTAATCAACTAACCAAAGGGTTAGAACGTCACACTTGGAGCCGCGAACGAGATCGAACGACAGAGTCGACGCTACGACCAGGGGGGGGAGGCGACGTCACACGGTATTTCAACGTGATATGGCAGTAAGCCAAGAGAAATGTGGTTCTACAGAAGGATACTGAATATTGTATGGACAGAGTAAGACAGCATCAATAATGTCTTAAAGAAAATGTCAAAAGAAAAATCACTAATATGCAGAATCAGGAAGAGATAATTGAAATTCGTTGGGCAGATAATGCAGAAGGGATGTTTGGAAACGTGATATATTGATGGCAAGAGAAGTAGGGGAAGACATCGAACCGCTTACCTGATGAGCTTCTGTGAGTGGATGGAGGTACGGAGGAGGGGGAGCTTTAGGAAAAAGAGAAAAACCGCTCAGGTCTACATAGGAAGTTGGGAAGAGTCATGATCGCCTATATCTAGAAGGAGCTCGGCATATAGAAGAAGAAGAAAGAAAGAAAGAAGTAGAAGATAAAAGAACTGATAATACTCATCTGTTTAACGTTTCCTTCAGTGAAATGGAAAAACATTGTCAATTTTTAATCTTATGGTTGTTATTGCAATATTTTGTTGAGGTTGTTAAACTCAAATCTTTAAAGATGCAACAAGCAAAATTCCACAGCAATTTTCTGGTCAGTTAATAAAATTATATTGATAATACGTATAATATTGTATATTTATTTGGATACAGAAAGGGTTTAACAGCAAAATTGTCCAAATTGTGTAACAGCAAAATTGTCCAAATTGTGTAACAGCAAAATTGTCTAACTCGTGTGACAGCATGGAATAATTGTACCTCCCACAAAATGTTTAATATTTAAAAAAAAAAAAAACACTAAACTAATTGAGTTCCTTTTTTTCTAAGTTTTCAATTAAGACGCTTAGCCGTCTTGATACCATTTGTCGTAAGAATCACTAAAAAAAATTTTTTAATTATTTAGCTAGAAAGGGAACAGGTTAAAATCGTTTTGTGTCAGCCCCACTATGTCTTCCCAGCTGAACAATGGTGAGAGGATAAAGATCATTCAGGGCTTCAGCAATGGAACAAACATTCATACACTAGCTTCCCTCTTCAAAATCCATTCAAGAACCATCAAGAGAATGGTGAAGAAGTTAAAAATGAGGGAACAACAGAGAGAAAAACTGGATCAGGTGGTTACATAAATAAGAGGTATAATCATTTCAACTGAGAGCTAAATACATTCTTATTCTTCAAAGTAGACTCCCATAGTTTTATATAAACCTTGGAGAATTCCAGTAAGATATCTTTAATCATTTCTAAGATACAACGACTCAAAACTTAATCTAACAATTGGACAATTTTGTTGTTACACGATTTGGACAATTTTGCTGTTACACCCAGTATGTAAAAATGAATGTCGGAAATTTTACATTTATATTTTAGACTACATAATATTTATAGAAAATGATCTTTCTCAAGACTATCCTTGAGACAATCAATATATAGCAATGCAGCTAATCGATCAAGAGTAGCTTCTTACTACCTATTTATTTCTTTAACAACTATCATGGACAGACTTCACAGACGAAGATAGACGATGGGGGAACCACGTCTCTTACTTACCCTCCGGTGGTGTGTAAAACCCACGCGAAACAGCTGCATTCACAGAGGATTATACCGAAGGTCTGGTATCCGGAAGGGGGTTCCAAGTTAACGTCGTTTTCACTCTCCTTGGACTGAAGCTGTGAAAAGCCCTCGAGCCATCAGAATTACATTTTTAAAATAGGGCGTGGCAAGAAAGCTGGCTGGAGCAAAGAGAGCAACCGGGAGATTTGGCAACTTCGCAGTTTTCTTTTTTTTATATGCCGTATCCTTTCAGAACGTGAGCGATCACGGCTCTCCACAATTTCCTATTTTTTGTAGTTCTTGATAAGTCTCATCTTTTAACTATCCATCCCAATACCTGTTCAGCCTTCAGTTCATTATGTAGGTTGCTTTCATCTGTCGCCTTTGCCTTCAATATATCTTGTGAGTGTCAAATTCTCCAAGTCTTCTTTCCTCATTATGAGTCATAAAATTGTTAACTATCTCATAATTTTTTATTTATAAGGGTCTTTTTGTTTCCATTTTATTTTGAAATTTCGCAGTCGTGTAAAATTCTTATTATATAGCTTTGGAGAATATTTCTTTCTGGGATGCATACGATGTCGTTGAGCAGTGGATGAGAAACAACTACACCAAGGTAGAATCTTACTTTATATCAACATATTTCCACTTCTTAGGAAGCTGTGGAGTATCATGATTTCATATATTATGAAGAGGTGTAATGTGATACGGTCAGAGTGTAGAACAACCCTGAAATAAAGTGGACTGTGAGATATTTTCTCTGAAACAAATGTACCTGGTATTTTATGACCAGCAGTAAAATCCTAAAATTAAGATTTTAAAAGTTGCTGCAATGGAATGACTATATCAGAGGCTATATATAGCGAGCACAGATTATCCTGGGGGCTTCCTTCGGCAATTAGTTGGAGATTTATCTTTAACTGTGCTGGTTTAACTCTCTCTCTCTCTCTTTCTCTCTTTCTCTCTCTCTCTCTCTCTCTCTCTCTCTCTCTCTCTCTCTCTCTCAATAACTTTACTTCGGCATTAGTTGGAGATTCGTCTCCAGATGTGTTGGGAAGGAACCCAGACGAGGCCATGCCAAAATGGAGATTCTCGTCTGGGGTGTAGACATCTACCCGACCCGTGTATAGGGGTCTACGGTGAATTTTTGTCCGAGCCTACGGGCTCGGTTTTACGCCGCATTAAAAAACGGCTTTGTGCCACATCCTGCCTATAAATAACCTTGCTTCGGGAATTAGTCTTGAGTTGGAGATTAGTCTCCATCTGTGCTGGTCAAACTCTCCGCCTCCGGGCAGAGAGGATCCCCAAACGAGGATCGAAGGGCAGAGTCTCGTCTCGGGAAATTGCTACCCAACCCCTTTTTATATGGGAAATTTTTTGGTCAAGCCTACAGGCTCGGATACCCCACATTAAATTCGGCCTTATGCCACATCTGACCGCGTGAGGTGGTTAGTAGATATCCTTGTTTCGGGAAAT